AAAGAAAGAAAGAAAGAAAGAAAGAAAGAAAGAAAGAAAGAAAGAAAGAAAGAAAGAAAGAAAGAAAGAAAGAAAGATGACAGGCAGATGATAGATGAGTTTGAAAGATTTGAACAGTAATCCTTATTCTTCTATAGAAATTGTTATAGTCTCCATAAGGGAACTGTAAAATGCCCCAGAAAGGTCAACATAACCCTTTACAATTTGTTAAATACAGCTTTTATTCTCCCTGATATTTTTTGTTTTAGGGAAAAGAAGTGTCAGAAAGAACTGAATGTTGTGTTTAGTGTACAAAGACTCAAACCAGGAGAGGACAGTATCCTTGAAAGAAGTCTCTTTCAGTACTGCTGAGTAAATCAGGATGAAGACTCACTGATGGCTCTGTCAAAGTCAGGATTAGGAATGTGGTGATAGCCAACAATTATGGAGTCCTATTAAAAACAAGTAGTCAAAGAGGCTTTAAAGTCTGAAAAATAAAATAATGTGATAGGCAATATTATGAGTTCAAGGACAAACATGTCTACAGGAACCTGAAAGAGAGAGAGGGGGGAGAGAGAGAGAGAGAGGAACCTGAGAGAGAGAGAGAGAGAGAGAGAGAGAGAGAGAGAGAGAGAGAGAGAGAGAGTTAATCTTTGTGGTTACTCCGAACAGAAACCCCAAAGTCTCTCACAGAGTTATTAGGTTTGAGGTAATTGAAGAGACTGAGGTAATATAAGTCTGCCCAGAAAAATGAAAATGAGAACATTTAGCACACAGTTAATGAAAATTGGTTAAGTATTAATATTCTTAAAAATCTATAGCTTTAGACCACAAACAATTTCTCTAAGGAGAGAAGTATATAGCAAGATTTTCTGGGACTTTCAGGAATAAGATTTGAAATGAAACTAGTATTTGGTGACTCAAGAGAGTCCATGGTCAGTAGCTAGAGTTTCCAAAAGCAACATGGTTCTAAGAGATTTGACTCCATCTCAAGCTGATCTAGTAGATTTGCAGTTATTTACTTAATCCTAAATATGTAAATGATATTTGCTGGTGTGGTAGCTTGTCAACATCTCACATTGCTTCCTGACCTGTGGAGTGTGGAGCATTATTCTAAGAAGGACCAGGGGAAGCCTATCAA